AATAGCATACCAGATTCATTTCAAGGTGCTGGCTTTGACCTTTAAAGCCCTATATGGTCGGAGGCCTGCCTACCTGAGGGACCGCCTTTCCCCATACATGCCCCAGAGAGCACTGAGGTCAGGGTCACAAAAATCACCTGACTCTCCCTGGCCTGAAAGACCAGGGAGAGTCAGGTGAAAGCTTGGCCATTACAAGGGCTAGGGCTTTTTCAGTGGAGGCTCCACACTGGTGAAATGAGCTCCTGGAGGACATCGGGGCCCTGCGGGACCTTTTACAGTTCCGCAGGGCCTGTAAAACGGAGCTCTTCCACCAGGCCATTGATTAGGAGCTGCCACTGACAACCACTGACAACCTTTGTAAATTGAATATACTGTAGCCCTACATAACAATGCCGGATATGACCTCTCCCCATCGGACCATGTACAGAAATTCCCGCCATCTGTTTATATTAGCACTTTATGTAATTGTTCTTACTGTAATTTTATTGTACTTATTGGTTTTACTGCATTTTAACTTGTGTAAGCCGCCTTGAGCCAGTTTACACCGGCAAGGCGGGATATAAATTGAAAGTTAATAAATAAATAAATAAAAATAAGTAAAAATGGCACTGGTGCTATAACCAGGCCCCAAAGTTTGCCATTTTCTTATCCCTCAAGTGACATACAAGCTGTCTGTAAGAGGATATGAGAGTGCACAGTGATTAGGTACCGAAATTAAATGCCCCCCATGGCAGCCCTAGAACAAAGGATTCTCCAACACAGGGCAGAGCACTTGTGAGAATGAGCTATAGTGAAGTACAGCTTTGGAAGACCAAATATGTCTGTGTTCTACTAACCAGATTTTGCCCCCCACTGTGAGGTTGATTTCAAAAAACTAAAATATTTTCGCAACCCTACTTTTAACTGTTTCCCAAAGCAAAGTAAATCTTTTAAAACCCATCGAGAAGATTTGGGGCTGAAGTAAGGCTGTGTGCTCTCGATACGAAAAGGGTAAAAGCATAAGATAGGAGAGGACTGCACATTGTTCAGATACTAGACAAATCCTTCACTACAAGTCTGTGCAAGTAAATACATTGTCCCCTTGTTATTCAGAATAAATGTTCATATTGATTCCACTAAAGAAAAAGGGCAGAGAAGTCAAATGACCAGGGCATAACTGTATAGATGTTCATATGTAGATGGGGTGTGTGTGTGTGTAGTCCTAAGGAGTTTCTTTTCCTCTTATAACATGGTTTCATGTCAAGTGTTTCCATAAGATTGTTACAGCAGGAAAGGGGGAAACTCAACATGAGATTACCATTGTTATTAGCAAACCCATGTTCACCATTTTTTATCTTTGACTCTGTATACAGGCCTCAGCTAACATTAAAGATGTGTGCAGAAAGGGAGCATAAGCCTGAAGTTTGCTCCTGCTCCCAGCATGTAACTTCAACGGGCTCATAAACACTCCAAATTAATACACAGTCTCAAATGCCAATAAATGAATCAGGTATTTAGCTGGCTTCAAGACTCTTACACAATTACATAGTGCCAATTTTTTAGTTTAAGTTCAGCAAAGAATGTACCAATTGCCTCTTTGGAAGTACCTGAGTTATGAACTACCATTATCACGGTTATAAGGCAGTGTATGTAGGCAGTATAGTGCTGCATTGTTGCTTATCACAAAGCATACATGTCTCTTTCTGCTAAAATATCGACTAAGCTTTTAGCATTATAGCAACAGTAGCAATGCTGAAGGCAGAAGACGGAGGAAAGAAACTTGCTCAATCCCCACAGAGGTGATCCAAGGTGGCTGTTATGCACTCCTAACATTAAAAAGTTAGTAGGTAAAAGATCAGGAGATGTGGCAGCCCAGGAAGCAGAGTGTGGACAGCCATCTTTTATTATATATGTTTTCCCAGTTTAGACCACACATTTGGCAAATAATTTGATTCCTTACTTACCTTTTTCCAAATCACAACTTTATTTTCAGATGGTCATTTCAAAGCAGGCCCTTACACATTTTGTGAGATTGTCCTGCACTTTCAATTCAAAGGCAACAGTGCTTTATTTAACTAACCTAGGCCCTGGACACACGGGCCGGATATCGTGTGTGTGTGTGTGGCTAATTGCTCCGGCGCAATTTGATCTGCGATTACGCAATCAGACGCAGCGGCACACCACGGGTCCTTCCCTCGGCGCCGGCGGGTAAACAAGGGACCGGAGGGGAATGCCGCGCACTGGCGCGATCACACCATGCGAGTCTGGAGACAGCCCGTGGCAAACGTTTACTAGTACTTCGGAGGTACTACTTTTTTAACACGCATTTTCGGCGGTAAGCCACGGGTGCGCTCCACTTCCCAGATGTCGGGGTGTGATCACGCCCGGATAATCCGCCCATCATCCGTGCCTCTCCCGCGGCAACTTTGCAGTGTGACCGGGGCCCTATATACCCTGCCTCTTTTCATAAAAACCTATCTCCAGATAGGTTATATCATTATATTCTACATGCCACTGTCACAAAATCTCAGACCAATGTAAGCCACAGCCTTTTCATTTTGGAAGCATGTGGTTATACATATCCTTTATAATATTCAAACTATGAGTGGCCTTTCAAATATGTTGTCATTCTAGATAACACAATCATATCACAGTAGCTTAAGTATTATCATGTGACAGACAAGCATATTACTTCAGTTACAGTCCTGCTTTAAGTCATGGATCTTGTTGAACCTCATTCATCAACATGGCTGGAAGAAAGTTTCAAATGCCTAGAAACCAGCCCTAGATGGGAAGCAAATTTCACTATTTTAGGCATATACTTTGCTGGTCTGAGAGAACATTCTGAGTTGTTAGGTTCTTAGGAGAAAATCCAGGGACTTTCTATAGCTGCTTCCTACCACATAAAACCACAGTGTTATAAAAGGGAGTTTTTAGCTTGCTTAAAAAACCCCCAAAGCAAATATAGAAGGATCCTCAATGTATTTCCCTTTTTACTATACACAGCTCTCCCATGGCCTGAGAACAGTCCTAACTATTCCCATCAACATGACTATGTGAAACAAACAAACAAAAAAATGGTTAAACGACCCAATTCAATGTATACCTTTTCTGAACCGAGCCTGATTAGACACATAGTTCCTACACTAATGAGCTGAATACCATGATGTTGCAGTCTTTCTAGGGCTACTTAAATACCACTTCCTGCATAGGAAAAATTATGAAAATCCCAAAGTGGATCCTTCATCCAGGACAATCTCTCCTACACAAACACACATTTTGTTACGTATATCACAACTGAAAGTAGATTCAGTGCTAACATTACTGCAACCAGCTAAAAATCTACACACAGTTCAGTAAGCTTGTCTATTCATGTGAGCAGTGTAACATTTGAATGAAAACCCTATATAGGCCCTGGTCACACGGGCAGGAAAATGCAGGGGGGAAGCGTGGCTGTTTGCCCCAGAGCAAAATAACGCGCAGCTGCACGATCAGGTGTCCCATCGAGGTCCCGTGGTTAGGGGGGAGGTGCCGATCACAGGACAATCCTGCGGTGCGGCAAAGAAGCGGCCTCTCTAGCAAAAGGCTCCGCGGGTTTAACCCCTTCCAGGGCTGCAGAGGAATGCAAACTGTGTGCTCTGTCCGGTCCCCTCCAGGAGGAGCTTCAGCCGAGCCGTCCTCCCGCCACGCCCCCCCTGCACCTCCCCCTTTGCCGCCCAGTGCAGAGAGTTCCTCTCGATCAGGCCGGGCCAGGAGTGGGGGGGAGTACGGAAAAGAGGAGGGGGCTGTGTTGTTTATTTGTAAACAAAGTGTGTGCATGCACCGTTGGGTGCTTGTGCGCATCCCATGGAGACTTGGGGGGAAAAAATCTTTTAGCGACTGGACATGGGTGGCCGCCGGATGCCACGACCTACCACTGGAAACGCGATCAGGCACCTGCCCTTGCCCCGCGGTTTTAGGAAACTAGTACCTCGGAGGTACTAGTTTTTTACCCCGCATCTTTGGTGGGAAGCCTCGGGTTTGCCACAGGAGCTCTACGCTTCCCAGATGTGGCGCTGTGATCGCACTCGGAAAATCCGCCTATCTTCCGTCTCTGTAGTGTGGCTAATGCTCCATGTGACCGCAACCACAGAAGATTATGGAGCTTATTTGAGTGATCAGAAACTTTCAAAATACCTAAATAACAAAAGTGACTGTTGTAAAGCTCTTAAGTCACCACTTCAGATGCTATCTGAACCATAAAAACAGGAGAGGAAATTAGTTGCTGTAGATTTTCCGGGTTGTGTGGCCATGGTCTTGGCATTGTAGATCCTGACGTTTCGCCAATTTTTCTTCTTCTCACCTTGACACAGAGAGTACTCTATCTTTCTGTGTTATACCTCTGAGGATGCCAGTCACAGCTACTGGCGAAACGTCAGGTTCTACAATGCCAAGACCACGGCCACACAACCCGGAAAATCTACAGCGATTAATGAACTCCGGCCGTGAAAGCCTTCAACGACATAGGAGAGGAAATGTTCAGAAAGAATGCAGCTTCCAACAACTGTTCAGAAAGAATGCAGCAAATCAGCCTCAGATTTCTATAAATGAATGTTGTGTTTAACACAATCCATGAAATGGGCATTACAATGACTGCATCCTTAATTTTTTTCAATTTTACTTCTGTCAAATGTGTTTACAGTCACAGGTCTTACACAAGTCTGACAATACTCCCAGTGTACAGACCATGTATAACTTCAGGTATAAGGAAACAAGCAGCACTTGTCAAACAGCCCAAATCATCAAAGACCTCATTAATGTTTTGCAAAACCGGGCTTTAGCATGGGTATCTAAAACACTAAACCTTCAATGGACCACAAGACTTTTGTGTGCGTGTGATTTGCAGTTTTCTCCCTGGAATCTGTAACCTACCACTGTTGGATTGTGATCTTAGACCTTCCCGAGGATTCTTCCTGGCAACTTTCTGGCGATTCCCTCCACCCATGCTGCCCCACCCCCGCTTTCCATGACATTTCGCTCACCCTGCCCATCTTCTCCGGCGGTTTCTTTTTATTCCGTTTTTTCTGCTCTTCTCCCTTCAGCAAGAGCATCGTGGCTGCCCCAGGAGCCGCCTTGTTGGGGCCACCGCTTCCTCCCCCTCCTGTCAGGCCCACAACCGCCGTTTCCTCCTCCTCGTCGTCGTCTTCCTCCTCATCTTCTTCTTCTTCCACCTCGGCTGCCCTGCCAGGGCGCTTCTTGCGAGCATCTCCCGCCCTGGCGCAGGTCGCAGCCCACAGGAGTCCCAGCAGGACCAGCAGCGCCAGGAGGGATGTCGAGAGCAGCACGAGCCAGGTAGGCAGGCGCTGCGGCTCCAGGCCGGACGGCAGCTGCAGGCCTAACTCGGTGCGCAGCAGGCCCACGCCGGCCGACAGCACGTCCCGCAGCCGGGATGACACCTCCTCAGCCTGCTGGGCCACAGCCTCTTGCCAGCTCGGCGCGGCCATGGCCCCGGCGGGGACGGGACCGAACGGAGATTCGCGTCAAGCCGACCACATCTCTCACTCCCCCCCGGAAAGCAAAGGCCCTTCGGCTCGCCCGCTTCGATGTCGGCTTCCAGTCAGAGGAACTGCCCCGACTTGGCGAATTGCTCGCTCGGGCTTCTGCCTGAGGCGCCTCCTCAGCCTCTCACGGCCCAGGAGCGCAACGTCACCTCTCCGCCGCCGAACGTCGGCGGCCGGAACGTTGCGGCGCACGCGCACGTCGGCTGCTCCCTGCGCGCGCACGGGCGGACGGTCACGTGGACGTCCGCGAGCCGTTGGAGGAAGGGGGAAACGCTCCAAGCTGCGCGTGCGCACGCGCCTTCTTCCGTCTTCCATATTTGGGACGACTAAATGACCTCCCTCATCTGTTCTCTTCCTTCAGTTGGCGCGTGCGTTGAAGCGAGGGGGACGCGCAGAGGGTTGCTCCGAGCCCTGCGATTGGGTAAAACAAGGAGGGTGTGCCAATAGTCTCGACGTGGCAGTACTCTCGAGGGAGGGAGGGAGAGAAAGGGGAGGAGCCGTTGCCTTTCGTCAGCGACTGTCACAGGCCGAGAGCAGAAAGACCGAGGCGGGTAATTTGGAAAAGGAAACGTTAAATGGCGCGTTAACTGCTCCTCAGGCTGAAGCTCTGGCCAGCTGGATTCGCTCGCGTGGGATGCTGGTGCGTTCAGTTTTGGGGAGTGTGAGAGATTATGGCTAGGCCTGGGGAGTCCTGGCTTCACATTCTGGATTCTTTGTTGGTGTCCAGTTTTTCTTTCTTAGTGTGTCCTTCCTCAGAGGAGCGATGTGAAGATAACGAGGAAGAGACAAGCACATGCTCCATCCTGACCTGCTTGGCGGGAAAAAAATGTATTGTATTGCATTGCGGGTCAGGACGTGACGGTGGACCAGAGTTGCCCGCTGCAACTTGGGAAATTCCTGGAGAGTTTGGGCAAGGTGTGATGTCACCTGTCACGTCCAGGTCAAGGAATTTTGCACTGTCATGTCATTTGCCTAAAGCCAGCCAGTTCTTCTGTTAAGTCGTGTGCTTAACAAAGAGCTTCTTCCTTTCAGAGTTCATATTTAAACTCCACAATTTATATATCTTCTGCCAAAATCCAAGGAGATTCTTTAGCAGAACATGGTGCTGCTCCTTCAGCTGCCCACTCCAGCGCCTCACTGCCCTCTGCTTGCTGAGGGAGATGTTTGCCACCAAGCCTCTTTCTGACAGCCCCTTTGCTATCATCTGCCATCTTCACACATGTCCTTAACACATCTCCCCCTGAGTGTAACTCCTCAGACTCCAGCTCTGGCCCACTTGGCAGAGGAGGAGGAGATGATAGAGGAAGGCCTCCAGTCTCAGGGACTTGACCTCAGGGGGAGCATTGTGAACTCTCCACTTGGAAGAGGAGAAAACTTTGTTATAAGTTATAACCCCTTCTCCCCACTTGTGGCATGGTTTATGGATGGACTTGGTTGCGGTAATGGAGGGAGACCTCTTAATTTCCCTACTTAGACGTTCAGTAACATGTGGGTTAAATCTTTCCATTTATCACAGTGCAGGCACTCAAATCCAGTGTTCCCTCTAAGGTAAGTCTGAGCTAGCTCACAGATTTTTAGCCTCCAGCGCACAGATTTTTGTCTTATCTCAGGAAGGATGGCTGCAGAGCAAACTAATTTATGCAGTAGCCAAATTGCTCGCTCACAACTTTAATGCCAGTAACTCACAAAGTAGAATTTTTGCTCATAAGACTCCACAGCTTAGAGGGAGCATTGCTCAAGTCTACACTTTAAGGACTATGAAGGTGGTTAAAGGTACTTGGAGTTAAGCAGATTTGAGCATATAGCTGTTGCGTGTTGCGTAGCATCTGCCCTCTGATGCATGGTGGTTCTTACACAGTGGTATAAGGTCTGTCTTCTATGGATGGAAACTAGGGGTGCTTTCACAGCTTGTACGCCCATTGCGCTGAGTTGTGGTTGAAAATAAGGCAATTTTTATATGATTTTCCTGTGTTGATATTTCTGTTTTGTAGAGAAAAGAACATATGCTGTCATGTTTGGTGAATGCAACCATTGGTGCTATCTCAATAGGCAAAACAGGACGTTTGACTACAGATGATAAGTATGCACATTTTCTGCCGAGTAACATTCTGAAGGAAAACTATCATCTGTGAAGTGGCTCCTAGAAGAACCAATTTCAGTGCCTAATTTGAGGCAAGGCTTTGACCTGTATTTTGAAACCAAGATCTCACCCTAGAAACAGTATCTTCCATATCACACATTCATTGGTATCTTTTCTTCACTGCATAATGATTGATGAAGAATCAAGTAAAATGTGTCCTGATAGTTACTACAGCAAGTTTCTTATAAACTTGGGGGAGATTAGAGGAAGTAATGGAGAAGAAGAAGGTGGTCAAAGGCTGGAATGTAACCTCCATATGCAAAGCTGTGCACTTCGGAATGTCAGTTTGGGATTTAAATTGGTGCTAGCTGCGCCCTTTCTGTGACGTTTGGTGGTTTCTCAAAAACATCTGGTTGGCCACTATACCAAAGGGAACACTGGACTAGATGGGTGCCAAAGTCATAGTTTGCCTAGAGCATCAAAAACAAACAAACCTTGGGTTAGCTCTGTATGGTTTACCATAAATTTGGACATGTGTCAGCATACTGAAAAAGCTGGGAACCACTGCTATAGACAAAAGCATGTTTTTAAACATCTGTGCATGTACACCTGGTAATCCTAATTGGGCCAAGGGTCTCAGAAACATGAATACAGTACTTTGAAAATAAGATTATGCACATGAAAGTTTCTGGGTTTCAGTGGGAAAGGCTAGTTTCACTCCCAGTAGAGTTGTCAACCTCCAGTAGGGTCCTGGAGATCTTCCAGAATGACAACTGATCTTTAGACTATGTACATCAATTCTCCATGCCTTGACATGGCGAGGGGGCTTGCATGGTTTGATGAGGCTGCAGGCTATGCCATGGAGGGCCACCCAGGATGGACAGGCCACAGCAGAGAATTCAGACAAAACGTGATCCACTGGAGAAGGAAATGGGAACCCACTCCAGTATCTTTGCCAAGAAAACCGCATGGACAGTAACAAAAGGCTAAAAGCTATGATGCCAGAAGATGAGCCCCTCAGATTGGAAGGTGTCCAATATGCTACTGGGGAAGAACAGAGGGCAAGTAACCCCAGAAAGAATGAAGTGGCTGGGCTAAAACCGAAAGGACATTCGGCTGTGGATGTGTCTGATGGTGAATCCAATGCTATAAAGAACGATACTGCATAGGAACCTGGAATGTAAGATCTATGCATCAAGGTAAGTTGGATTTGGTAAAAAATGAGATGGCAAGACTGAACATCGACATCTTGGGAATCAGTGAACTAAAATGGATGGGAATGGGTGAATTTAACTCAGAAGAGTTAAATTCAGAATCTACTACTGTGGCCATGAATCCCATAGAAAAAAATGGTGTGGCCTTTATAATCAACAAGAGAGTGAGAAAGGTAGTAATGGGATACAAAATAAAATCTCAAAAACAACAGAATGATCTCAGTCCAAATCCAAGGCAAACCATTCATCTTCACAGTAATCCAAGTCTATGCCCCAACCACTGACACAGAAGAGGCTGAAGTGGACCAGTTCTATGAAGACCTACAATACCTCCTAGAACTAACACCAAAAAAAGATGTCCTTATCATCATAGGGGACTGGAATGCTAAAGTAGGAAATCAAAAGGTAACCGGAATAACGGACAAGTTTGGCCTTGGAGAACAAAATGAAGCCAGGCAAAGGCTAACAGATTTTGTCAAGAGAACACGCTGGTCATAGAGAAAACCTCTTCCAACAACCTAAGAGGCGACTCTACACATGGACATCACCAGATGGGCAACACCGAAATCAGATTGATTATGTCATTTGCAGTCAAAGATGGAAGAGCTCTATCCAGTCAGTAAAAACAAGACCTGGAGCTGACTGTGGCTCAGATCATGAGCTACTCATTGCCAAATTCAGACTTAAACTGAAGAAAGTTGGGAAAACCAGTTAGGCCATTCAGATTTGACCTAGATCAGATCCCTTATGAATATATGGTGGAGATGAAAAATAGGTTTAAGGGACAAGATTTGATAGACAGAGTGCCTGAAGAACTATGGATGGAGGTTCGTGACATTGTACAGGAGGCAGCAATCAGCACCATCCCAAAGAAAAAGAAATGCAAGAAAGCGAAGTGGCTGTCTGATGAGGCTTTACAAATAGCAGAGAAAAGAAGGAAAGCAAAAGGCAAATGCGAAAAGGAAAGATTTACCCAACTGAATGCAGATTTCCAGAGAACAGCAAAGAGAGATAAGGAGGCTTTCCTGAATGAACAATGCAAAGTAACAGAGGAAAACAATAGAATGGGAAGGACTAGAGATCTCTTCAAGAAAATTAGAGAAATTAAGGGAATGTTCCGTGCAAAAGCTGGCCATGATAAAGGACAAAAACAGTAGGGACCTAACAGAAGCAGAAGAGATTAGGAAAAGCCAGACATCCTGGAGTGCAAACTCAAATGGGCCTTAGAAAGCATTACTAACAACAAAGCTAGCGGAGGTGACGGTATCCCAGCTGAGCTATTCGAAGTCTTAAAAGATGATGCTGTTAAAGCGCTGCACTCAATATGCCAGCAAATCTGGAAAAAACAACAGTGGCCACAGGATTGGAAGAGGTCAGTTTACATTTCAATACCAAAGAAGGGCAATGCCAAGGAATGTTCAAACTATCACACAATTGCACTCATTTCCCACGCTAGCAAGGTCATGCTCAAGATCCTTCAAGCTAGGTTTCAGCAGTACATTTATTTATTTATCTTTTGACTTACTACCCCGCTCGAACCCCCCAAGGGGTCTCTGAGCGGCTTACAGTTAATCCCTAACTATGGCCACACAGATACTTCCAGAGAACAGTCAGGGTTGATTTCTTTTAGGATTGACTGATTTGATCTTCTTGCAGTCCAGGGGACTCTCAAGAGTTTTCTCCAGCACCATAATTCGAAAGCATCTATTCTTCAGCGCTCGGCCTTCCTTAGGGTCCAACTCTCGCAGCCATACATTACTACTGGGAATACCATCGCTTTGA